ATTGGCTTCTTCAACCCTGGTTCTTTCCTGACCTCACAAGAGATCTAACCTCCATCAACAGCTCTACCATCTTTTCATCAACTGTGATGCAGGTTCCCTTCAGTCTGACTCTATCCCTCTCCCACCTCTCCCTTACTGCCGGAAGCAGCACTACCAGGGACTATTATGTGCTCATCATTGTAGTTGTTACTAACATCTGCATAGACGTTCAAATTTGTGATTCAGCAGGGATTTTGCTTCTATATCTGAGATTCCAAAAATGTAATAACAATCCTGAATAATGCATTTGACTTCACATTATATCACTATACCAACTTTCTGCTTTACAAGATCTTGATTTTAGCCACAAGGTAAGAGCTCCATTATGTTCTTAGGCACAGTGAAACCAGAGGGGTGTTATAACTCCATTACACTGCCTTAAGAGTAACCCAGAGAGCTAACATGCCTTGAAAACACGTTCTACAATATAGCTCTTTCTACCTTCCCAAATTCCAAGAAAAGAGATCCCGTAGGGAGACAACAAAGCCATGGCTCCACGTATGATTTTTTCCACCCTGCTCTTGTCCTCTTGCTGGCAGGGCAGAGAAAGTATCTGCATTGGGGATCTATCTGTTCCACTGAAAATCCAAACTCATACAGTGTCTGAAATATTACCATATTCTTCCTTTTCTACCAGCTCTATTGTGTGTATCTACTAACTAGCCTTATATGGAAACATTTCTCTTAGATCTCTTAAGAACTGTTGCCCAACTATTGACCCATTACACTTAGCTGTGCAACTAAGTAAATCCCAGAAAGCTTTAGCTGTTATGAGTTTTTATACCTGCCCCTCCCTATTAATGTAATCACCCTCCAAAATAAAGACAGGATTGCCAAACCTCTTCTTGTTAAATAAATTTATTGCTAATTAAGACATCAGCTTGCCAAATATGTGCCTTGTTTACCCTGCTTCTAAAAAAATCATGCTGGCTTTGAGTCCTTGACTTCAAAAACTTGAAGGACTAGATAAGACATGAGTCTCTTCTATCCATACGGGAGGTGGCTGGATGAAATATTAGGGAGGGAATGGCATGTTGATAATCATAAAGGGCAACAGAGCATATCCCTTACCCTCTGCAGTAGAGGATCTTTAAAAGACCTGTGCCTTACAACTGTGTCTCTGATGTACAGCTTAAACTGAGGTTACTCCTATGGCGGTGCAGTCAAGCATCGGTTGCGGTTGGCTGTGGTTAAGATTGCTGTGGTTAAGATCGGAATATGGATTTTAATTTGTAGCTATAATTGAGACCCTGTAAAGCACGGGGGGGGTTATTTTTAAAAAAGCCTCTGAGACATGGAGTATCACTGGTGATCATTAATATACTTTGGCATCTCTGACTTGGCATAATCTCTATCCAGCCTTTGATGTAGAGCCAACTTGACTTTATTTTTTTTTTTTTCTCTTACAGATAGATCCTAATGATAGGTAGAAAAAGCCCACAACTTTCTTACAGGTTAATGATGAATAACATAATGTCCTCCTTGAATAAGTAAGTCATTGTGGGCCTCTGGAATGTGCGGTAAGAATGCAGCTCATTATGTCTAAAACAGCAGGGGTAAGTGTTGCCAGAAAGCCTCGCTGGGCTTTAAAGGGAGAACATTTCCTCACTGGACCATCTGTGTGTTCGGTATTGATCTCTACAGCAGCGTGCAGGCTTTGTTCTGGGCAGAGGGAAATACAATACTGACACCTTATGGCATTCTTATTACTGCAGGGCAATGAAATGTGAAGTATAGTTTGGGCTGTAAACTGCCAGCCATGATCCTTTGTGCTATAGTCTTATACCAAGAGTATCCAGACCCCTCTCTTTAACACACACTTTGTTATGGCATAACGATGTTGCTGCCAAGCTGTTGAGAAAGAGGTGCACTAGGAATACCCAGCTGCTGTCCCATTGCTGTTTGGTCATTTGCAGCTGGTGTCTTTTATCTGTAGTAGAGGAGGAACCACAGACCTCAGGATCATAGTATGATAGGATCATAGGAAAGTAGAACTGGAAGAGACCTCATTAGGTCATCTAGTGCAGCCACCTGTTCAAACCAGGATCACCGCAACTAAACCATCCCAGTCAAGCATCTGTCTAACCTGCTCTTGAAAACTTCCAGCAATGGAGATACCATGATTTCTCTATGTAGCCTATTCCAATGTTTGGCTACTCTCATAGTCAAAATGAGAATGAAGTTCTTCCTAGCATCCAACCTCAATTGCCTCTACTGTGGCTTGAGGCCATGGCTCCTAGTCCTGTACCCTATGGCCATGGAGAAAAGATCAGGGGACTTGAATGAGGAAACTAATAACTATGTCTGATTCATTGCGGAAAAAAACGGGATTCAATATAGCAATACAAAGGAAGACAAGGTACAATGTTTATGCTAGAACCATTATACACATGGGTTCATTATAACCTCCTATATTCTATATGTTTAGCTATATTTTCTTTTAGGCTGGCTTGTAATTATTAGGAATGAAATGACTGAAAACTTAAGTCTAATATTGAATCCTGGTAATGGGGATAGCAAGCTATTTGAAGCCAACATGCCCATAACTTAATTCACAAAACACACCAATACAAAGATATTTTCTTTCATGAAAGCAAATGTTGCAGAACTAAGGAGTTTACTGAGGATGATGTCACCAGTGGAAGTATCAACATTTGTGAAAAATGCCAAGAAAGCCTGGAAATCCTAAATAAGGTAACAAGAAATGCCAGGAGACTACAATTCCTTAGACAAAGAAAAAAAAAACCAAAAACTCTGGGACCAGAATTTACCAAAGTAATTTCATGAGCAGCTGATCAAAATTATGAAGGCAATCATGTTGGCAGCCAAGGAGTTTGGCAAGAGAAACCAAACAGGAATGTGCAATCAGTTAAGACCTACAGAAGTTTAGACAGAGTCCTCTCACATCCGAATGGTACAATGGATTTCCATGCCAAAAAAATTAAGCCGAAAGTATCTAGCTCATCTACACAACCTGATTGCTGCTGCTGATGCACGAGCCTGAAATAATCTGAGGATAAATGAATGTATAATTGCTATCAGAGTTCACCCCAGGTCTACAATAGACAATGGATTTACTTCAGAATCACATTCCTGGAGCTCAACAAAACTCCTTGCTCTGCTGCCTTCTACCAATGAGTCCACAGGAACTAAAAGTAAGGATTGGGAGAAATCCATCAAAACCCACATCTATTGGACTTCCCATTTCTGACAAATGGAAATGTTATGACAACACAACTGTTTCACAGGAAAATTCCCAGCCCCCTCAGCTAGCAATGCTATTTAAAGCCGTATTCCATCGCATGCAAAGCACATATCATTGTATTCTTGGAAGCTCTTTTTTAAAAATGTCAATAAAATATTCATTTAAAAGAAAAGTATGATTAAGGCAACATCCAGGTTGGTCCCTTCAAAATTTGCAATTTAGGCACTATAATGCCCAAAAATAATTACCGGCTCCTGGAGGAAGATAAAAAATAGGACTGGGTATCCCACATTAGGTACCAACATGGAAAGTTAGGGACTTCCAACAGTATATTCAGGGACTGAGGGTGGTGAGCAGGGAGCTAACTAGAGGTAGTCAATAGAGGTAGTCAATAGGAAGCATTAAGCACAGGGATGTTTCAGGTGCTCACACTCCTCAATCAAGTTGGCTCCTTTAACTCCCAGTCTAGAGTATGGAGTTTTCTTCTGCGGATAAGTGCATATGTCACCTGGTCCAGGTGACCTGGTCCAGGATGGAGTCAGACTTCTGTTCTGGTCCCAGTGCTGTATCCAATAACTATCCCATGCAAAAAGTATAAGTAATGCTAATAATGGGAAGACCCTCTTCTTCCTTCTCTGACTCAATAAAGATGTGGATTTAGGCAATAAATCCCATGGTTTCCGATGAAGAATCCCATGGTACAGAAATGTCCAACCCAGGGTTGTACAAATACTGCCTGACAGCAGAAGAGGGGAAGGAGTCCAGCCCCCCCAAACCCCCAGAGGCTTCTATACTCCCTACTGGCCAGCCAGTGTGTCTCCTAGTATAATGAGCTGACTAGCTGCTGTGAACACTGATCAAAAAGCTCTTACATGTCTCCATACAATGTATAGACAACCAGGACTCAGTTGCTTTTAATTCCATTTATGGGATCACATGTAAAAATGTTAGGAATGACAGTGCACAGCAGAACTATAACTGGGCACCATTTAAAATCTGTGCCTAAGAAACTCAAGTCCCCCTATCTCCCATTTAGGTACCTAGTTTAGCAACCTAAATTCTACCCTACCTTGTTTGTGCCCCACAATTGCCCCAGTTTCATTTATATCAAAGCCCCTTTACTCTGCTTTGGGGTTTACACTAGACAAGTGATGTGAAGTGATAGGGTGACCATATTTCCCTGGTCTCAAACATGAAATTGTCTTTCCCAGCTCTCCATATCCACCCCCCTCCCCCATACATACACAGCTGGATCTGAGGTCCAGTATCAGCTAAGCATGCCAGAAACCAGAACTCAGGGAGGGGAAACATTCCCGATTTTGCTGCAGCAGTCCCATTTTAAACACATCCTGGGCTAAACACTAAAAATAGGACAGAATGGTCATTTGACTAGACCAATGGGATACCTGGGGAGGTGTTTAAATGGGACATTCCCAGCAAAAGTGGGATGTATGATCATCCTATGAAGAGACCATAGAGTGTCCAGCAAATTCAGGTATATAACCTTTCCAAGGAAGAGACAGAGAGACTCTTAGTTATGCTACTGTGGTTTTGGCAAAAAAACCCCAAACCAACAACCACCCACTTTGTTGACCATCTAAATTGATTTGTCCTGTTGCCAATCAAGATAAGAGCAATTAAGCCTTCCGCGTAATCTCATGTTTCAGTTCTCAGTAAGCAGGTTTTGTGACTCGAGTTATTAGAGTTCTTATTGGGTGGGAAATTAGCTTGTAATGAACAATGCATTTTCAAAAGAAAACAAAACACAACAGTACAGATTAAATTTGAAGGAAAAGATATCTTACATCTGCCAAGATATGCAATAGCAGCAAGTACACATTCAACACAAGCAACCAACCCAATTTTGGAAGAATTCATGACAAATCAAGCTATCTAGCCAGTCACAATCAGAATGTGATAATACCTGGTTGTGACATTGAATCACTCTGTCAAACCAGGAAGCAGGTGAGCTATATATCATACTCCAGTAAAGAAACCAATTCACTTCCACAAGCATCTGAAAGACGCAGAAGATATCTCCTACATTCCAGAAAAGCAAAGGTAATGATTATATGCATTCATTTGTTTCTTTACATATGGTGACTTATTTGGGAATCTGCTATTTATTGAACTAGCAGGACAATTACTAAAATATACTGTCCTGATGGTATTTATGGAATGGAGCTCACATAGTGAAACAGCACAGAGACATGGAAAGAAATAAGATACGTATTGCAATTTAAATTCCCAGGAGGTATAACAGTAGGACTTCCTCAGTAGGTGTAAGCATCTTACGATCATGCAATGTCACCAGCCAGCATTGGGAACCCAGTGATGACTTTGCAGCTCTCATAAAACATGAACAAAATGCATGATAAATTTTCCTTAGTTTATTTCAGAATTAATATTGTCACCCTCTTGAGCAAGCTTTCTCAGCCGTATTATTTTCACAAATGAGCTGTGTAAAATTTCAACAATTTCAGGTTGTTTTCATATGAAGCTTGCCAAATAATTTGTTTTGGATGCAAAAGTCAGGAGTATGTGAAAAGAGCTCATGGCTGCTTCTAGGACAGCTGCACATGTTGCTCTGCACCTTACAATTTAAATGTTTTTTTTCAACAAAATACGAATATATCACTGCTTGATATATCTGTGGGCAGCTTAAAACTTACCAAAAAGCCCAATTAATTTCCCAATTCAAATTGAATGGGGAAAATCATGTTTAAAGTCACTAAGTGCTTCTTTTTCAGGTATAATATAAAGAAAGTCATTACATCTGAAAAGAGAAAGGAAACTGTAGGGCCTTGTTACACATTAGGCTGTGATCTGCACAAAAGTTGATGGGAGTTAGTGCTAGCTTGAGTTCTGGAGCAGTCACACCCTTAGCCTAGAAATGGTCTCTGCTCTCCCCCTCTTGCACAGCTGTGACTTGCCGCTAGAGGCCTGGTGAGCAGGGGCAGGACTAGGAGCTGGAGCTGCAAGTTTGCACTAGAGGGTTGGTAAGCCAGAGAAGGCTACTATCCCTGCTCCAGGGGTGGGTGTGTGAGAGATCCTGAGATACTGGAGAGCTTCATCAGGGTGGCACATCTGTTGGGAGTGGCTGCATCCTCATGGAGCAGGAGCTGGGTGGTACAGATCAGAGATAATCCTGCCCTGGAGTGGCGTAACTTTGAGCTGCATAATGAGTGCTTAAACCACTTTAAGATGTTACTGTGTGGACAATTCAGGGGTTAAGAGCTCCAGGAGCTGCCCAAAATTACTGTGTAACAACGCTCTTAGAAAAAAAAAAAGAGTGAGTAGGAAGTTTATAGTAAGTAGTACAAACCCATTAGTGTGCATTACCTGGAAACAAAGTGTATCTAGAGATCAGAATTCGACTAAGGAACAGTTATATATTTGAGAACCGTGGACCAAATACTTAGGTAGTATATGTAGATAAAGTTGTATTGACTGTAGTGGAGCTTCACCAGTTCAAACTAGTTGAATACATAGTTCATTGTAATACATAGTTCATTCACCAGTTGAATACATAGTTCATAGTCTGCCATGCACTCGCAAAAGACACAGCTGCTAGTTATACTGCATGAATTTATATGTGTCTGAATTCTTTCTCTGTAAAATACTTTTGGGTCTGTCTTTGAAAAAAAAAATAGAGGGCTAAACTATTCATTCATTAGGTTGTCAACTTTCTTAGGAGTTCAAAGACCTACCTTGTGCATTAACTGGCAGGAAGCATTTTATTTACCCTAAGAGTAGAACAGGCAGGAATTATGATGGCAGGACACAGAATAGACCTAATCTTTAGCCAATTCTAATGCACGTAGCACCAGTTGGGCATTGGAAATTGCCAGTTGCGTTCAGTGAGGTATACACAATGTTGTAAGGAGCATGGACCCTGCTTCATCAGCAGCAAAAATGTAGTCTCTTCTTCTCCTCTCTTGCCAATCAACCTGATCTCTTTGAAAATGACTTATGTAAACTCCTTCTTAGTGGGTAGCTATACAGAGTCACTGATGCATAACAAGCAAATGTCAGCAAACTCTATGACCATTTACCTAGGAATAAATTAAAATGAGCACTCTCCTCCTGTCTTTCAAAATCAAACATAAACCTAAGCTAATAATTGCCAACAGAACTCAATTCCAGCCCAGGTATGTGTCCAAGGCAGTTAAACCAGATACTGACAGCCAAAATCTATAAGCTCATGCAAACCACCATGGCAAGATGAGAGGATCCTAATATACCAAGTCCTGGGCCTTCCACAGATTAAAAAAAAAGCAAACAAAAAGCATGTATTTATCCCCTTGCATTGCTCCAAGAACTGAATAGAAATTCAAACATCTAAGGCCTTGAAATGATAAGTGGAAAAAAGCCACCGCAGACTCAATTCAGCAGCATTCAGTTCAGTTCAAAATCAGGAGAAGCATTACCCACACCTCCCTCTGGGAAGGTATAGACATACACCTCTTACTTTCCAGAACAATGCCATAGCTACTAGGGCTGTGCAAAGCTTCAGTCCCTGATTCAATTTGGCGGAGATTCAGCCCAGTTCAGTGGCCAAATTGATTTTGAGAGATTTGGAAAGATTCAGCGATTTGGACACATACACAGCTTTAAATGTTTTTTCTACATACCTCAAGGTACCAGGCAACTTGTAAATGCTTGATGCTGGGGCAGGTGGAGAGTCCCGCAAGAGAGTGGGGGGCTCCCCAGCATGCTCAGCAGCAGACCCAGAAGTGGACCAGAAGCACTTCCAGTCCACTCCCGGGTTCACCGGGGAGCACGTAGGGCCCCCCATGCCACACCACACCAGTTCTGTGACTGGTGCCTTTTGGGCCTGGGGGGGGGGGGCACCCAGGGTCCCCCCACGGCTAATTGCTGAGCTGAGGGGTGCAGGAGGGCCCCTAAGTGTGCTCCCCAGCAGACCCAGAAGTGGACTGGAAGTACCTCTAGCGTACTTCTGTGTTTGTCACCGAGCATGCGGAGGCCTCCCAACGCTCCTGTGGGACACTCCATCAGCCCCAGCATTGCAGCATTCACAAGCCATGCCTAGTACCTCAAGGTATGTAGAAAAAACATTTAAAGCAGTGTTTATGTCCAAATCACTGAATTCTGAGTCGCTGAATTATGTCCAATTGCTGAACTCTCCGAAATAGCATCGAATCTTCATATTTGGATTCGGCTGAATGGAATCAGAGACAGTGATCCAAATTAATGAATCAGATTACTGTCCATGATTTGAGCTGAATCGAAATCCAAATCAAATAGGGCCCATTTCACACATTCCTTATAGCTACCAGGCTACAGGATAGGCAAGCTGAGAATGCTCTCCATACTTCCTGTTAAAACTGGGCCACTATGCAGCTAAAGCATGTGGGAATTGCTCAGCCAGGAAAAGAACAAATAAGAAAAAGCAAGCTCCAGTGTTTATAGTGCCTCCTTCTAGGAGAGGTTGGTTCTAGTCTCTGCTGCCAATGTTATTTCAGCATTTCAACAAATGATTCTGTAATGTAACATGCACAGACTGGTGGGAGTGGTGGGTCATTTAGAGCTCTAAACCTAAATGACTGTGAGTCACCTCTAAAGGTCCAGAGAGGCATTCAGGCCCTTGCTCTAACTCATGGCGCTTTACACAAAGTATCATGCCTTAGAGCCCTACCACCCACCCCCAACAGATGTTTGTCTGTTAGGTTGGAGTGGTAGTGGGTCAAGCCTGCCTCCACTGCCCCCCCTCCCCCAGCCAGCAGGATTGAGACTGCCTGCACCGCCGCTCTACCCACCCCCACTCTCACTTCTGTCCCGCTCAGTGCTGCTCACTTCCCTCTATCTGCTTTGTCCGGTCTGATTTGGAGGTGGGTAGGGGTCAAATGGATCTGCCCCTCCTCATGGGCTCAGCCCAGCTCCCCCCAAATACCTCTGTTCCACTCCTCCCTGTCCAGCTCCAGCTAGGCAGCAAACCCCAACCAGTATCTCAGAGTTCCTACCTCCTGCTACCTCCCTCTCCTCCAATATCAGCCCAACCCAATGTGTGAAATATTAACTCTAGGGAACACAAGTTCCCTAAGGCACTCTGAAACAGTGTGCCTTTATTTAACACCTCTTTTTAGGTGGCTTAGTTTTTTGCACAACTTTAAAAAATGTTCTGCAGCCATGCATATGTGTTACAGCAAGGCTGTAGAGTGCTTTAAGGGGCCAGATCACAAAAAAAAAAAAAAAAAATGTAACTTGTATAAACACCTTAAGACTCTTGTATTAATTGTACATGAATCCTAGTTGCCTGAGTCATACTGAATTGCTGTCCAGAACCAGACACCCAGAATTTAGGCTGGGTAATTCCTAAAACAAGGGTCATACTAGGCAGTTTAAGTCCTGGGCTACAAATCTAAGTTCATTTGGTGACTCCATTTATGATAGCATACTTGCCTAGATACTTTCATTTGCTGCTCAAAACCAATCTGAGTTGATCTCTTAGCTACTGAAGTTCCATCTTGGTTCTGTTAAGATTCAGGTTGGTTCTGGGCAGCACCTGATTCTCCAGAGAAGCCTAATCTTTTAGATGTGCTCCAAGTGCACCTAACTTGCACTGACAGTACTGAGTCCAGCTCAAACATGCAGCAGGCCATCTTTTACATAATTGTGAATCATGTATAGCATTGTGACCCAGGATCTAGGTCCTCTTCAGCTTGAGGGTATTGTAATTCATATTTTCCTAGTTCCTAGAAGAATAGGTACCTAGGATCCCATAGCCCTTAAGCTATGTAGGAACCCCCCCCCCCCCATCATTCTGGGGGCGGGGGGTTCCTACACACCTCCTGTTGCAGATTGGGCTTCTGTGCAGGCAAGAGTTCAAGAGTGGTGGGGCTAGAAAGAAATATGTGAGAGGGGGTATGACCCTATAGACCAGGGATGAGCATGTGCCCCTGGAAGGGTTCCAGCACTGCTACCAGGATTGCTTATGCATTTTATAAGAGTCACTGGATAAAAATAGAGATTTATGGAAGCAGAAGCCAAAACCCAGGTCTTCTCCTTCCAACTCTGCTTAGCATTTCCTCTTGGCTATTTCTACTTATCTCTGTGTTTGGATGGTCACCTTTGGTTGGACTCCTTCCAAGAGTCTGCAAATTGGTCAGCAGGGGAGCAGCAATTAACACAGACAATACTCCCCCATCACTAAAAATTTGTAACTGGGAAGAGCCCTGTGGACTGGGTAGCATGGCACTGCATGCTTGATCAAGTGCAAAGGGTGGTGCGGGGCTGATCTGGGTGAGCAGGGTGTTGCAGGGCCTGATCTCAGCTGGCAAAGCCAGACCAAAACTTTGCAGGGCCAGAGTGGGATGCACAGGGCCAGCCAGCTGTGATGCAGGCCCAAACCAGGTGCACAGGGCTGGGCAGAGGCAGTACTGGTCCAATCTAGATCTGTAGGGCCAAGCAGGGTTGCTGTGGGACCCAAATCTGGTTTCCTGGAGCCAGCTGAAGCCACATGGGACCCTATCCAAACTTGTGAAGCCAGGGAGAAGCAGTGTAGGGCCTGGTCCCAGTATGGAGAGCCATCAGAGGCAGCACAGGGCCTGATTCTGATGCCTATGGCCTGATCCAGCCTATAGACTGCCCTCCAGGCCACTCACCTGTCCCACAGGCCCAAAAGATTGAGCAACAGTAGTCTTGGCCACCAAGAAATTTAATATTCTTTAGAGGGGAGGCACAGAAAGTGAGAATCTTCCCTCCTAAACTTGCTTCTGGGAGGTTATGCACAACTCCTTGCTCATGATTGTATCTATAATCTCTGACTGGCCATAATTCTTAATTTCCCCTTATATACAAATTGCCACTTCTCTTCTTTCAGTTATAAACTAAACAAACCCTAAGGGCAAAATTCAAACTAATTTTGCACTGGCTGTAACACAGAAGCCTGGAATCATCAGCAGAAAGTCTGCTGGGAAGGCAGTTATGGTAGAACAACATGACTTTAGCTTTCCTTCCATGCTGGGATGGATGTAATGGGCAAGTACAGTCCAATAAGTGGCCTGGAAGCTGGTGTTGGCAAAGGCAAGCATTGGCTGTGCCAGTTCAGTTAATGTTTTCATCAGTTTTCCTCATCAGAAAGTTTTTTATGAACAAGAAAAAGCTATAATTGGCATCTCATAATGAAAGCTGCAAGACAAAATGGCAGCATTAATGATAGCGGTTTTCCCTCCAGGGAGTATCCTCTAGAGAACTTCCTGTGTAAAGAGAAACTGGTACCCAGAGTACATCCAGGCCAACGTGTTTAACCCTGGCCTAAAGAAAAAAATATAGTAATGTCAAGCCATATACAGAGAAGAACCATGGGACATTGTTTGTAGCAGCAAAAGAAAAAAAATGGGGATACTTTCTAACTAGCTGCTTGGAAAAAAACCATGGAAATATACCTTTGTTATAATACATGTTGAACTAAATCAAAGCTACCAATAGAATAGATAACTAAATACATTGTTCATCACTTTTCAGAGATGCTGCTGCTTGCTACATTCCTGTGCCTTGCAGCCGTGCTGCAGCAGTCTTCTGGACAGGTAGGACCCTCATTCTGTATACCTAGATTTAGTCAATGAATGCGGAACCCAAGACAAAACATTTCCTTTCAGTTTGAGTAATTTGAAGTGTAATACTAACCTTAAATGAGATCCGAATGTTATCTTCAAACTAAAAGTCATTTGTAATATAAATTATAATTATTTTTTCTCAAGAATGTGCAAACAAAACATTATAGACATACAAAAAACTAGAACTCTTGGTTTCAAAATGATACCTTTTATTAGACCAACTGGAAAATGGCAAGAAAATTGTCCTTTTCTGCAACCAAAACATTGCAATTGTTTGGATTTTTTGTTGTTGTTACAAACAAATTGGCAAACCTGGTGTGAATTAACTCGGTTTCAACCTCACCAAACCTGGATTTTTGGTAGAAAGATTTCTGGCTGACAAAGTGACACCAAATGTATTCAGCTCAGGTGGGTCAGTGAGGTTCTTCACATAACTGTCATTAAATGGTGTATCTTCTCCAAGCATCTCCTGTGTTTTTCTATTTGGAAGTCTCACCCATGAAAATGGAGCCTTTGATTTATTTAGACTTAAATAATAATGAAAAAGGAAAATGACCAAGATTCATGGATGTTGGTGACCCAACCTATAATTAAGTTCTATATATTTCCAAGAATTCATTAAAAGAATGTTTAACATCTGCAAGCAGCCTAATATAGTAAGCTGGTTTTCAGTGTTATTGTGGTTTTTACCCTATATTTTGTATAATAAAAAAAGGGACTAAATTTTCCACCTGAGTTTAATGATGGTCTTAATATTTTGGTGCCAGTTAAGTCAGGCCACAGTTAAGTCTATGCCATCAGAATGGTAATGTGTTGTTCATATGTTCCACTCAGTTTTCACCATGTAAAAAGCAATGATCAGGACAAAGAAATAGAAAACTAGGGGCTAACTGTTCTGTTCATGTAAAGGTAAAATTGACGTTTTCAAGAAGTTAAGGATGAGCAGTCAAGTCTGAATATAGACGTTGTGTTTGTATTAATATACAAAATAACTATGTTATGGAACTTCACAAGGCACAGTAGCAAACGTAAAAGGAAAAAATAAAGTTTCTGACTAAAGCTGGATGAAATTTTTTACATCGATATTTTGGGAGGAGGACAAAAATACAGATTTAGTGAAAGTGAAACATTTTCATAATTCATGTCAATTTTTCAAATTGTTTACTCGTAATAATAATCACGATACAACTTTGCAAGCTAAAAAATTAAAATGAAATATTTCAATTTTTCCTTTGGAAAAAGACTTCTAATTTTCAATTTTTCTCTAATATTATTTTTTTCTAAATAACAACCCTTAAAAAGTTCAAAATAAAAACAAAGCATGTCTTTAGATACCCAAATTATATTTTTCAAATGACTTAATCAGCTAAAACACCCAAGCGTGTTCATTTTTTTTCAGTCCAACTGGAACAAAACCCCACTTTTTTTCAAAAAATCAACTTAACTATCACTCCTACCTGGAATGTAAATAAGGTTATATCCAGTCTATATACTTGTTTTTAGCAAAGCAGGGGAATTAAGTAATAAACACATGCAAATTAGTATTTCCTGACATGTCATTTAATTATGCCAATAATATAATACTATATAATTCAATTTACTTACATATCCAAGGTTTTATTTTCAGGAAGGAAGGGAGGAAGGGATGGCTGCAGCTGACTTAAAAATACGGCTCCTACAATTAAATGACTATTGCAAAAATATATTGGATGTATTTAAAGTTGTTTGCTAAGGAGCTATTTTGAAAGTATGAATCTTAAGCACAGCAAGAACTAGGTGGTGAACCAGCTTTTTCTTGATTTATCAAGAATTTTCAATATTGTCGGATTCAACAACCACAGATTTTGCAAGGAGATTAAATCTCAGGGTGTCAGGTTAAATCTTGTGAAGCAGCTGTTGCCAGTCGCTGGCAGAAAGTGGATACTGGGCTAGGTAGACCTTGAGTCTAGTCTATTAAGACACTTCCTATATTATCACGCTTTCTCACTAGAGTTTCCTAAAGTAGTTATAAAAGCTACAATTTAGAGATGATTCCTAGCTGACAAGAGTTGGGAGTTGGGAGATGATGAATTACTTACAGGAAATAAATGAGAAAAAAGGGGACTGCAAAGGCTCACTTACTGCTCCACAATAAAAATTGTTGTTCCTGTATATCTGTATATCATTAATGAACGTGATAATCACTATACACAAGACCAATAAAATCAATATAAATACCTCATTTATTTTAAACAGAGAAACTAGACTGTACTTACATTATGTAGGATGTCCCTGCATTTCCTCCCTATTGACTTCCTTAAAACTGCAAGGAATCTATACAGATTATGTAGGAGGTGTAGTGATCACCAGGTTGAATAAATGCAGGCATACAATGAATGAGAAGGAGTATACAACAACCTTTTTTTGAGAATCAGTAGTCAACCACTGCAGACCCTTGGTCTCTCTCCGACTAACTAACGTTTCCTAATTCCCAATTTCTGTAGTCTCCTAAGTAAGGGACTATCTCTGAAGTATAACTTCTATTACAACATCTTCCCTCTTAACAATAAACACCAAAATCAATTAAAACAAAATTCCATTAATATCTATCTACAGAGAGGTGACCAAGGGCATGTGTAGATAAAATGGGGGCCCTTAATAGAAGCAGTGAGTTTTTAAAAACACCGCTTCAATTTAGGGCCAAGTAAACCATGTCGTACTCACACCCGTGCACTTACCTGCTTCTCTGGTGGTGGGGAGAGGAGGGCAAGCTGCTGGCAGACTGAGCAGTCCCTGGGCTGGGGGGGCTGGTGCTTCCCTCCGCGGCAGTGTTAGCCCCCTGCCCAGGCACCACTCACCTGCAGGCACCCAGCTCAGGCAGGAAGGAAGCACTGGGCCCCCCACACAGTTCAGGCAGGTAGGCAGGCTTCAGGGAAAATAAAAAAATCACCCCTTTTTTTTCTTGGGCAGAGCCTGCCTTCCCGGGCTGCTGCCAGGCTGTCTGCATAGGCTTCCTGCATGGCCCCTAAGCTGCATGGAGCCCGGTGCTTTGCTGACTGTAGGGCTCCATGCAGGTTGGATTTTTTTTATTTATTTTTTTATAAATAAAAACAAATATTTTTCATTTCTGCTGCTTGGATGACTCCGTTTGGTGCATTGGAGGAAAGGCTGGAAGAATGAGCGTTATTTAATCTGGAGAAGGGAAGACTGAGGCAGGATTTGATAACAGTCTACAAATACTTAAAGGGCAATTATAGAGGCTAGAGATGGACTTTTCTCTGTGGCAACAAAGAACAAGGACTCAAGCTGCAGCAGGAGAGATTTAGGCTAGAGATTAGGAGGAATGTCCTGACTATGAGGGCAGTCAAGCATTTGAACAGACTATCTAAAGAAGCCATTTAGCTGGGATGGTATAGTCAGGGATGATCCGGCTTTGGACAGCGGGCTGGATTAGATGACCTGGTGAGATCTCTTTCAGCTCTCCTTTCATATGAACCTACATTTTAGTAACCATATAAGCAATGAGAGAAATGACAAACACATTTATAGTGCAACTGTCAAGAAAGACAAATTAGAGATACAGAACCCTCCCCTCCCCCCGCCAACTTTAAAATTTGATCAGTGATCCTCAGTTAGGGTTCTGTGGCCCTTTGGGGTACCAAGAGATCCCTTGAAAAGCGCCATGAGTTGCGGGGAGATAAGCAGATAGCCACAGGCTTCAACATGTTGCTTTCTGCCTGATCCCACACCCTCACTGCCCAATCTCTCTCAAGGAAGTAAGCACTGTGATATACAAATTCACTTTTGAAAAGGGGTGCCACTCAATTTAGAAATGTTATGGAGGCGTGACTTGAGTCCAGTGAGGAGTGCCTCAGGTTCAAAAAGGGTGACAACAACTGTCTTAGATGAGCAGAACGTGTGCAAACAAGGAATTATAATGAAAAATGTTTTGACCTTACCTCTAACATGCCAACCCCTCCCCCCCCCTTTTTTTTGCCTGTATTTTCACAGAAGTGAAAGGAGTTATTCATAATTCAGAGCAAAAATGTCCTAAAAGTGTAAAAGGTACAATAAAGATTTCTAAACAGAGGCTTAAAAGTGGCATTCCTACACACAGCACTAGCTTTTGTTTTCTGTTTGTGAATATCCTGGTGCAAAAGATACTTGTCCGTGATGGGGATGCTAAAGTACATTGATAACAACAGCAGTAACAATTGCAAGGAAAGTAAATTCAGTGTAGTAGACTTTCCAAGATCTGGTGTAATAAGTCCATAATGGCTATAAGCAACAATAACAACAGCGACACTAATAATATACAGAAACATATGCAGACAGAAAGATTCTCATAAAAATAAGTCTGACTCTTCATAAATTAATTATGTTTATAAAGCCACACATATAAGGATCATTTCCTAAGTTCCCATGTAGATTATTTTAGAATCCTACCATCAAACAACAACCTTAATAATAATAATAATACCAATAATAATAACAATAATAAAAAAAATAAGAATGATTTCTTTCAATTTAGGAACCTGCGGAAGGTTATAATGATCTGTCAACTGACAAGATAGATCAGCAAAATTCCATTGTGGAGAAACACAACACCCTCCGGAGACAAGTGAACCCCCCTGCTAGCAACATGCTGAAGATGGTAAGATACATTTTGCAGTGCAATTTGTTAAAAAAATACAGACCCTGTCAGTGATATTAGCAGACCTGCAATGTCCTAGTATTTCACTGTTGTAGAGAACTCTCAATAAGAATCATTTCAAATGAAAGGAACCCTCTAATGCCAGGGACAGAAATTACACATAAAATGATGTAAGTGATGAGAAATCGGCTCAAATCTGTAACACAACAGAAGTTCGCTATACATAAACTGCTTTCAAAATAGCCAAAACTGGTTTAAGGTGCAGTATCAGACATAACTGATTTAGGTTAAATCTGTTTATTGAATTTCTGTCCCAGATCCCCTGCTTGTCAGTTCAATCTATGCAATTTAGACTTACCTGTGAAGATTAAATTGACTCAGCCTCAGGCTTTTTGACCGACTGTACTTAGTCTAAATGCAAGAGAAGGAGCTTTCAAGAGGCTTTTTTAAAGACTGGATGTGTGATTTCCAAGTGTAGATTATGCTGTATATTCTTCACTATAGATTTCTAGTACTAAGCAACTGAATGGCTAATATTTTTCCTTTCATTAAGAAATGGAGTTCTGCAGCACAAGCAAATGCTAAACTTTGGGCAGATGCATGTAACTTATCTCACAGTCTTGAAAGCTATAGAACAACCGGTAAGTAAAAATATCTATATAAATAAATAATGCATTGTTCAGGTACTTACATGAACAATTTTCAAACAGCATAACCCCTTTCATATTTAGTGGGTAATAGTATCTTACTGAAAGAACAGAATAGACTCTGCTGTAGTATAATGTACTTATATATTCTGTTGTAAGACTTCATAATATTTAGTTAGGCTTCTTTTAATCAGATAGAACTTGAGCATTAAACAATCACAAACCACTACAAAGAAATGTTCATGGAATACTTTTGCAGTTTTTTCCATAATAAAGCTAGTCAAAATGTTTCAACTTTTGGAAAAAAATGGGGAAAGAAATGTTTTAAAAGTCTTTACTTCTACTTCTATTTCTTCCAACACTCCCTTCTTTCCCCTTCTCCCCACCCCCCTCCCACCCCAACCAGCATCATTATATTAAAAAATACTAGAGGGGAAAGTTAGGCCCTTTTCACTTTCACAGAAATTAGTCCCAGTCAAAGAATCTCTGCAAGAAGGACTATATTTCTCATATTTTTCATAAGAAAGACCAGGGTGAATGAACACATACCTGAAATCTGGGTTCAATTTATGGAAGAACCAGATTTCCTGGGGTGAGTATAAAACTCTTCCAAACAGAATGGGCAATGATCCAGGATACAATGTCGTAGAGCATATCTATGTTGTGGGTCTGGTTTCTCTGGACAAAGGTTCTTGTCAAATGCATGTTCCTTGCATTTTCTCAAGCCATTTTCTCCAGGGTTTTTGAATGGTTTCCCCTTCATTTTCAGATACAGTCTGTGGTGAAAATCTCTACATGTCAAGTGCCCCAAATACATGGTCAGATGCCATTCAGTACTGGTATGATGAAAGGAAAGACTTTGTGTATGGCAGTGGGCCAAAAAGTCCAGGCGACGTGGTAGGCCATTATACTCAGGTAGGAGACATACAGGTTATTACACCCTGATCTGTACTGATACAGCCGTACAATGTCACTAAGAGTTTGAGCTCATCATTGTCATTGATTCTTCTACTTAGGTGCTGCAACATCTAAAACTTAAGCGCCTTAGAAAACTTAGGCATAAACATATATCTGAATTCTTGTCTCTCCCTGGAGCTTAGGTGCTTGACTCCTAGCTGTATATTAGTCACTCCTGTCATCTCAAAACCCAGATCACTCAGAAGGGAGGTATCTGACATACCCTGGCAGCAGGAACAAGTTCAGTACATAACATCCACAGATGTTCTTTCTCAAACAAGTGTGATAATGATGCCCACATTTTTTCACAATAACCTAAGGGTTAAAGCACCAGTCCAGGAGATAGGAAATCTGGGTACTAAACTTTGCTTAACCTGAGAGAATCCTTAACCACCTTTCCCACATCTTCAAATACTTCCCTAACCACTAAGCTGTAGAAGAGTTGGAAATTGAGTAACTGGGCATATAATAATATAAGCATCATAAAGCCATGAAGAAGAACTAGAAAGAGTCATTTGCAAATCAAAGGGAATGATTCTTCCTCTCTGTTCACCTGGAGTACCGGGTCTAGTTTTGGGCCTCACACTTCAATAAGGACGTAGGCAGTTTGGAAAGAGTCCAGTGTAGAGAACCAAAAATAATTAGAGACCTGGGAGACAAGATAAGCTGAGGATAAGATGAAACAATTAGGCTTACGTAGTCTAGAGAAAAGAAGACTGAGGTAGGATTTGATAATAGCCTGCAAAAGGCAATTACGGAGAGGATAGAGATGAACTTTTCTCCGTGGCAATAGGGGACAGGACTAGGAGCAATGATCTCAAGGTTCAACAGGGGAAATTTAGGTTGGAGATTATGAAGAGCTTTCAGACCATAAGGGTGGTTAAGCATTGGAACAGGCTACCTGGAGCAACTGTGGACTCTCTATCCTTCGAAGATTTCAAGATTAGGTTGGACAGATAATTGGTTAGGATGGATCCTGCTTTGAGGAAGGGCAGGGCTAGATGGCCATGTGAGGCCCCTTCCAGCTGTGATTTCATAGTATCCTATGATCCTCTGATTCTTATGCCTAGTAGTTAGAGCACTCCCATTAGAGCAAGGGAGTCCTCATGAGTTCTGTGCAGGTAGAGCTACTTGTGCATTAGACCTGGTCTCTGGACACCTAAACAATTAAGGATGTTGTCAGACTTCAGGCACCACTCTGGACCATAGCAGAGCTTATACAGAAGTTGGGTCTGGACCACTCGTGAGCATGCTCAGAAGTCTAAGCACTTAGGGAAATTTTCAGGCCCAAATGGAGGTGCCTACAGTTTCATGCTTGCTGGAGAAAAGTTACTCTGGAATCTTTCCAGTTGCTTAAATGCTCAAATTCTGTTCATGTCCCATTTAGGTACCTACAAGAACAACTTGTATCTGCCTTAAATAACTATTAGATTAAAGGGAAGAACCAACCATGTTTTCTTTAAAAGGAACAAACACTAAGGAGAGAGAAGCAGCATTCCAGAACAGAGATCTGAAGATAAAAACATTCAAAATAGCGGCATTAAAATATATAAGAAAGAAATGTCAAAAACCATGCCACACTTGCTCAACATAAGTTCCAGTACCCCAAAGTTAATAGTGGGGTCCTCATAATTTGGCTTGTTTAAAACTGGGTTGTAACAATCCTATTTAAATGGTAGGGGACAATTCTGCACTGACAGAAGGATGGCACAGATAATTTATAAAATCTTTTCTCACGAAAGTAATGTGCAGTTACCAAAGCCTAAGTGGCTAAGGTCACTTTGATTTAGCTTGCCTTCAGTGAGTCCATCAGGTATCCACATACACAATTACATCTGTAAGCTAAAAAACACAATTTCTCATATAGCATAGGAAGGGAAAAAGTGAGAAAGAAACATTGTTATTTCTCTTTTTAGTGCTTCAGAGGTCAAGTATTATGCAAACAGGAGTCCTACAAACACTGGGAGAGAGCAAGTTCTATAAGCTGGCTTCTGAATTAGTATTTCATGAGACACATGGACCATTTTGAACATTTATTCTGACCATCCTCACAGGAGATAACATTTTACTTTGTGATTGTATCGTGTTCAACAACTTGTGTTCGAACCAGAGCACATTTTCGGAAAAACATCCAGGGCTGTTTTAAAGTATCCACAAGATATAAAACAGGGAAGGCAAAATGCGGCCCATGGGCTGGCTGCAGCTCTCCAGGCCATTTAATCTTTCCCACAGGCCCCTAAAAAAATTAGAAAGTAAATCTTTATCTGCCCCTGGCTGCCTGTCTTGTGGCCCTTGATGGCTTGCCAGCAGCCCTGGCACGCGGGTCGGGGAATGCGGGCTAGAATTAGGCATGGACTCGTAGTGGTTGATTAAAGATTATTTTACTTACACCGTAGATGGTCGCGGTGCAGGCAGGAAAACTTGCTTGCGTTGCAGTTACAGATAGGAAAGAAGAGAGGACAAGAGTTCTAACCGTGAACTCTAGTCCAAAGCCGGCTGAAAGCTCTAAAATCACGGGCCCGTCGAATCAACCAGAGAAAACAACTCAGAGAAGAGCTCTGGATACCACGATGAGAGTCCAAAAGGTGACTCTCCACGAAAAGCGCTGGGAAGGTTACGTCGAGGGATTAGGCGGTGACGGGGAAAGGCTAGAGGTTGATCAGGCCCCTGTATCCTTCTCTAAGGCACTTTGGGTCTGTTAAACTCCACCGCACTCTTAGAGTTCTCCACGAGATGGATGTGGAGTCCCCCTGAACGAGGTCCTCCCCGGAGATCTCCAACTCAGGCGGAAACCGCTCAAGCCTCTTATACGGCTAGCAAGCCAATCACTAGACGCCCCGTGGGAATAATTTAGAAGACGCCAATTTGCATGCGAGTGGCGGAAACTCCTTTGCACCGGGGTTTTCTCTTTGCAACTGAGAAATGCACCCTGCAAAGAAAGCTCCTCGTGGTGGGAAATAATTCTGCAGTGCCGAAGCACACACAAAATCACACCATTGGGTTGTGACATCCCCCCTTGCTCAAGGCACAGCTGAATTATATCGCACACTCGTCATATGGGTCGCCAGTAGCTTTTATCACGGGTCGTTGAACTAAACGGGTAAACACAAAATCAGCTAACATAAGAAGTTCGTCCTCCAGGGATCAAATTAAATAATAGCCGGCACAAATACATACACACATAACCAGATTCATAACAAAAAACTGAACGATCAGGGCTTCAGTGGGCGTCAAGGTGAAGTCACGCGTCAAGCCATCACTTCCTCGGTGATGTTGTCCTTCTTGGGGCTTCTCTCCACCACGCACTCTGAGTTCCGGATCTGTGAAAAGAATTATCTTAAAACAGTTATTTAACTAATATTTACAAAAATCACATGGAATCACACTATCATTTCTAAAACATGTAATACAGGTGTTTGTATGCTCAACTAGATGAAATCGTCGAGGATTCGTCATCTGGATCTTCCAGATAATGAAAACCTAACTCATAGGCCAGTTCCCACTGACCTGCGTCCCCTAAAATCCGAAGTTGCCGCTTATTGAGTCCAGAACGCTGTAGGAGAAATCCAAACATGTATCGCCCCTCTGGTGTTCTCTGTGGCAATGGTGGAAGGTCGGATTCGTGGTGTCTTGCGCCATTAGCCTCGGTCGGGTGTCGACGTTCCCGATCACTAGATATTCTTGGCTCCATCAGGATATGCAGTCGTGACAACTGACAAAGGAGGTTACTTACGGGTTGGTTCACCATTGGGTTAAGCAGAATCCGAAGGACAGCGATGTTCTTTCACCCATAAACCTCAAGACAACTATCTATGCTGTGAA